TTCTGCTCCAGCAGAGCATCTGGTGGATTCGAACCTCTCACCTCTGGGATTGCTGGGCAGCTTCTTGCCACTAGGCCACCAGAGCTTGCCTGGACATAACTTTCTAATAAATCTATCTTTACTTTTTACCTTCAAAAAAAGGGAACATCATTGAAAACAATATTTCTGCAAGAACAAATACACAACATGAGCAATATAATAGGCAAACCTCATTGTCATCATTCACTAAAAGGGAAATAATTTTAAATAGCAACTTTTATGATTTCTTTGTTTAGATTAGATTATTAGGTTTCTCTGTTTAAATTCTGAGTCTAGACGCTTCTGGAAAGAGTAGTCATGCCAGTTTGTTTTGTTAACACTAAAGCAAGCTGAGAAATTGGGGGAGAAGTGATATTTCAGACCCTTTTAGTCTTTGGCATTGTCTATGATTCTCACTTGGCAGCTGTTGAAGATCATCTGTTCCGCTTGCTTTTTAATTCTTGCCATTGAAGAATTGCTATTTTTAGCAGCTGTAAACTGCTAGAGGGAGCGAGTGGATGCCAGGTAGACCTTGGAAGGGGGAAGCGATGTTGTAGATTAGCCCTCAAGGAAAGCAGTGGGGAAAGAGCCAAAGAAGGGTTGTGTTAGGCAGGTGAACCAGCCACCTACACCCAGACTGTTGTTGCTCAATACAATTCCCATGGGAAATTCTCCAGTCTTTCAGGTTCCTATGTCTCAAAGGCAATACAATGTGAGAGGTGTATATTATTCTTTTCTAACTTAAAAAGATTGGTTTTTAAAAGGATAGTGCTTGGAATATCTTCACTCAGCTTTATTTCATTACTGCAAAATTGCAGCCTCCCAAAAAGGACAAGAAGAAAACTAGACAGCAAATACACGGGAGAGGAGTGTGTGGCAAGTATTGCAAGGATGTTTTGCTTCAGAGGTGTCAATCTTGAAGGGCCAAGTACCCTTGAGATTAATTTGGGAAGAAGGCAGCTGCTATAATGCTACTGTTGTCTTCAGCTAAGCCGTGTTTGTAAATCTAGCGAGTGTATAGGGCAAATTTTCTATTATTCTGAAATTTAGCTCTGAAGGGACAAGCAGTTTAAAAAAAGTATACTAATAAAACAACCACTTAAAAACTATCTTCCAGAAATCTCAGCCTCTCATCTTTTAGGTTGAAAATGTATGTGCTTGAAAACATTCACTTTAAGGTGTTTGCAAACGTGCATTATTGATGATTGAGAATGAATAGAAGTTACAGAGAGTATAGTAAATGGTTAGAACTGGCCTCAAATGAAGCTGTAACTCTGCTGTGTAACCTGAGGTAAGTCATTTTACCTATTTGAGCCCAAATTTACTTATGAAATAGAGGCAACGTTTTTCTGAATTTTTTTTTTTTAGTTTTATAATCCTATGATTTTGATGATGAAAGGTTTTATTTTGTGATATATGGCAGAACTTACTTGGGCTGTGGCAAAATTAAATATCACCTCATGTAATTCAATAGTCATGAGTCCTTGTGGGGAAACCAAATAGATTTCAGTGACAAAGAAAAGTTCTAAATAACTTTCTAACCTGTCTTTCTTTCAACACGATTTAATTGTATGAGCTTACCCTAAATAATAAGAGTGGAAATAGCTCTCTTGACTCCAATCCCTCTGCTAGTTTTTGTTTTTTGTTTTTTTTTAAAGTAAAACATTTATTGGATGCCGCTCCAGATTATTCAGAGAGTTCCACCAAATATACCACTGTGGGAGGCAGAAATTTTCACAGGACAACTGTCCAACATAACTCTCAAAATATTTACATTTTGGTTAATATTCAGGGTATCGTTACATATTTTCCTTCTTTTTTCTTCTTAAATAAATGCAATGTTCCCTGGGTTACAGAAATATATTCACAATCATTATAAAAAGTTCAGCATACCCAGAAAATAAACATTCCTTGTAGTCTATCCATCCTTGTATAAATACTAAAAGGTGCTGCCTTTTGTCCATCTAGATTTATACTATCTATGAACAGATAAAAATATCCATCAATTTCTACTATAATCTACCTCTAACCAGTATACTATTTCCATAGTTTTTAATTATGTGTTTTTACTAAACAAGTGTGTTTTCTTTCTTTTCTTTTTTTTTTTTTTTTAAGCCAGTTGGATTCAGCAGCTGGGGAATTGTATACCAACTTTAGTCGCACACTTATGATAATAGTGTCTGATAACTCACCATTCTTGAACTAGCTTGCTAGTAATTTCATTCTCTGTCAAAATTTCCTGTCACCTAAGCCCTCAACTGAGACTTCTAAGTATAGGATTTGGTAGTGATGATCATGACAAACAGATCATGTGATTTTTGTCTTGAAGTAAATAGTAGAGATTTTCATGGTCTTGAAGCAGTTGGGTATTTGGAGCTAATATAAGCTTTGGTCCCATTCCTTAACCCTCATATCTAGCTGAGATGAGGAATCACATGGTCGAACCAAAGACATGCAGTTTAAATCCACCAGTTCTGTTCCAGAAAGATGGACAACCTCCTACCCTATAGGAGGGGTCAGTTCTGACTCAATGGTACAAAATGACAATTGTCAAGAATAGCGCTTAGTAGACAACCGTCCTGTTACCTGGCTTCATACAACATCTTCCATGCAATGAAAACTATCCATTAGCTTTAATAATGGACTTCTCACTACTCTAAGTGTTGAAACTCTGATTCTGATTTTATCTTATTATACTGAGGCAACCATACGAATCGTATAGGTGGTGGATTGATTGACACTTTATTGTTATTTTAGAATATACACAATTCTGAGAAATGTTGATATGTGTGAATGGGGTGATCTAGTTAAAACCCACCCACTTTCAAACCTTGAATTCATACCTATTTTCCTCCTCCTGTTTCATGGTGGTTTTGTTTCCCACAGAGGGACTTTTCTTGATCCTTCAAGAAGGTGTAGGCTTGTGAGTGCTTGAAGTTGTGTTGGTTGGTGTATTTAAAACAGAATCCATTGATTTTGCAACAAGTGTTGAAAACACTACATAGATCCCCCCCTCCCCACGCCCCTTTTATGTATTTGTTTAAATATTTGAATGGTGGGCTGGTGAGGGAAAAACAATGCCAGTTTGATTTCCCTTTCCAATAAGGAAAGTGTGCATTTGTGGCAAACTGAAAGGCTAGGAATCAAGGGCAATGAAATACAGGCCTTCCGGCCTTTTCTCCTTCCCAATTCCTGGTTGTGGGAATCTGATCTGAAGCCAACTGCAAGTGAAAAACTCATCTTTGTCTGACCAGCCAGGGAGCTTCGCCTGCCAATCCCCCAAATGCGCTGTTGCAACTCTGGCATCCTGAGGCTGGTGATGGAGCAGGCTTCGCAGACCTGTGTATCTGCCAAGGTGGTGCACCCGGACTTGGCCTCTGTGTTGCATTTTTTGGCCGTGACCTTGAGACCAGCCCACTTACTGCAGCAGCTCTGTTGCTGCTGTTGTGACGCCAGGGGGCCAGAGGGAAAGAGACTCTCCTCCTGGCTCTCCCACTGGTTGGCAGGTGCCAGCTATGGCATCCAGCTCTCCCAACGCCTACCACCCACGGGGTGCGGGGCAGTCCAGGTGTCTGTGGGGAAGCCGCTGGCTCCAGTTCTGGCTCAAGTCCCGGTCCCTGGGAAGTGGGTGGCTGTCTGACCACTAGCCTGGTGCGCAGACGGTTCCACGTGGGGACTTGCCTGTCAGCTCTGCGGACAGATGCTCAGTGACAGTTAATGATCTTGGAAGAGTCAAAGGATCCTTTTTTGTTCCAAAGATGTGACTCCGTCTTCAGAGAAGGCAGAGTGTTTCTCTGGGGAGAACAGATCTCAAAAATGCCCAAAACCATCGAGAAATCTTTTTCCTTCCCAGCCACTCAGAGGCTGGTGCATTTTGAAAACCCCTCCCTCATGCCTTGTCCTTACCCTGTCCTTTTCCTTTTTAAGTGGCTTTATTATTTTAATTCGCTTGTGTCTGGACATTTATTGACAGAAATCAAATCGCTGTGTCCCTGGGCAAAGCGCCTGGTGCAAAGAGGTGTGGCTCCCCAGGCATGAGCCACAGCCCAACAGCTGAGCTCCCCTGTCCTCACATAACCTCTCTGCCTTAAATATCGCCAATATTTAGCCTTGCCTTATAAAGTAAAAATGCACAATACCTTCCAGAGTTTAAGCGGGCTCAGATGCCCCCCTCAGCTGGCCTCTATCTCCTGTAGTTGGAGGCAGAGCAGCATTCCCCTCCCCCAGCACAGACCTGCCCTCGGCCCCGAAGAGGTTACTAATCAGGGAGACTCCGCCATCGATCCGATTGTGCAGACCCGGGGGATTTGTGTGCATTGTTGGTTTGTTGGGGCTTTTTTTTTTTTTTTTTGCTGGAGCCTCCTGTGATTTCGGCGCGACCAGATCCGCTACAGCGAACTCCATGTCACAGCTTGGGGCTGCCTGTGTCCTGTGGTGAGAGTGGAACACACAGGAGATCCTTTGTCTAGGAAGGGCTAGGCACAGAAGATCACTTTGGAGTTGCTAAGCTCTGCATTGCCATTGGCTGCACTCTTTGTGGGGCTGTTTTTGCAAAAGGCATGCCCAGCACGTCTACAGTGCTGGCAAGCCAGGGCTGCCTTTAAACACCATGATAATAATACCAAAAAGCAGTTTGCAGAACTGTTCCACTGTAGAGGCTTCCTCTGCAGAAGCAAGCAAGATGGCTACCTCGTGGGCTTCGCTGTGAAGAATGCAGAGGCTAATTAAGACAGACTTTGAGGGGGAAAAAGGGTATTTCCCTACTTCATCTTTCTTGCAAGGTTTTTTCCCAGTGACTTTTGCAGTGTACATTTTGCATGACCTCTTTAGGTTCCTCTGCCTAGCAAACATGTTGATGATTATAAATGGTCTAAGTACTTTTACAGTGAAACAGCCAAAAAATTTAGGGAGATGGGAGCTATTTTTGTCCTTAAACAGAGGCTCATTTTGCAATTTGATTTTTTTTTTAATTTTTTTTTTAGGTTATAAAGGAAAACAAGAGGCCCCCGAGAGAAAAGAAGCCCAAAGTTTCAAAGGTAATCAGCTATTGATTAAATACTATTTCATTTTTCTCCATTTTATATAGGTTCTGCTGCCACTTGGGCATAAATTTAGAGTATAAGGGATGTGTATTTTAGCATATTTTCACCTGATAAATGCATTTCCATGCAATGAAAATATTTTTGCTTTTTAAAAATGTCATGCATATTGTGCTCTTTTGGGCATCCTTTATTTTCAACTTCACACAAGTCTGCAGTAAGAAAAGTTTCTATGCAAAATGCTGTGAATAAAATTTGTTTTTCTTTGTAGCCACATTTGTAGCATTTGCATTTGTGATGTTGCACCAGTATGTGAACCAAAAAAAAAAGCTCTTCAAGAGTAAGGCACTATTAACTTTGGCATTTGGAGTGCTGAAGTGATATGTATGTTTTATTGTCAATAGTTTGCCTAATAAGTTATATATAACTCATTATATAGCTATATTAATTATAAAGTCATAATTTAATCACAAGCTAGCAATCTGTATTCTGAGCTTCATACAGTATTTAGAAGGGTTAATTTAAAAGCATATGGCATCACTAAAAGTTCACGGCTAGCTTTAGTTTAGCAAATAGGTGCTTACGAATTAAAGGCTTTGAGTGCTATATTGCTATGATAAATGCAAGCAACCTGAGCCAGCAACCTTTCTAATCCATTTTATGTATTAAAACACACATTGAACAATGGAATTATTGTCCTTAAAATTATACAGTGAATGTTTAATTTAAAATATTTTACCAAACCATAGTTTCCTTTTGCAAATAAAGTTTTAGCACTCAAAGAGAAACCACATGTTGAACTATGTATGTGGCAAAATTTTGACCTTATTTCTTTCCCAACTGGGGTTGTGTAAATGTAAATGTTGTTGACATGGAGGACTAAGCCTTGCATTGTTTTCTAATTGATGTGACCGCCTCCAGTTTCTGTTTACTGTGTTTACACAAAATTTCTATGTGCATTTTTGATGACCCATAAGTATTAATATTTCTCACCCAGTCAGCACTGAGCTAGACAATGTAATGAATGAATTTGCTTGGCACAGATTCTCACTGGGCCTAGACAAGAAGAATAACAGTTATTTTCAAGGCAAATTAAGCCTTTTTCTGCTTTCCCTCTTTATATTAATGCCACCTCTTTTAACAAGCCCCTCTCACCACTTCTGTCTATAGAACTTTATCATTAAAAAAAAAACAACCAAAAACCCCTGCTTCTATTTCTTAACATCTGTTCACTTTCTGGGCTGTATATTTTACACATTAAATTCCTTTTACACCTTAGAATTTTTTTAAATATGGAAAAGGATATAAGATATATAGAGAAACTGGTGTAGACCAAATGTTATAGCTAAAGGGTCTTCCTCCTTTTAATGGACATTGGAACTCTGTTTATTCTGTAAGCCTGTGGGTATCCTGTCACCTGAGATACATTTTAGAAGTAAATATATAGCGTGTTGCCTTTTTGGAATCATGGTAGAGGATGCTTTTATTCTCCCCTTAATTATCTGTGTGTGACCAGATTTCAGCTGTCACATCAAGTAGAATTGAATTTTTTTTCCCTTCTACAATCAGTGACTGTTGAACAATGTTAGCAAAAGGCTAAAAGAGGAGGGGGGAAAGTGCCCCACCCCCATGTTAACATTTAATATGTTGTCTTTCATTTTCAGTTAGGCATAATGTTTTGTATTGTCCAATACAAAATAAAAACTTTTTGTTTCTCTGCACTAAAGTGAAAATGTTAGATTTTTGAGTGTGATATGTAAAAGCATTGGCAACAATAAACGTGTAGGATATTGTCTAATGCTAAAGGGGCTATAATGTGAGAGTAGCACAGAATTGGACAGAGTTTCAATCTGCTGTGTGTAGGGTCACTATGAGTTGGCTTTGACTCGATGGCACCTTGTTCCTATTGTTCTAATGAAAAGGAGCTGTGAAGAAAACTAAGCCTGTGTTTTTCAAGAGAGGGTAAGCAAAGAGTAGAACTTTTAGTTTGTGGTTTTGGGGTGTTGACTTAATCATGATGATGGCCACCCAGAAAATCTATGATAGGAATCCCACAGGTTACAACGTAGTCTACTTTTCTAGTTTTCAGCCCCTTTGCACAGATCATGAGATCATACCACAGTTCTAGTCTACTTCCTTTGACTGTAATCTCCACGTCTGCTCATCGTATCTCCTTGGCCTCTTACTCTTTGTCAGGATGAATACTTCAAGTATCCCAAGGCTGGAGAAACTAGAATTGGGGAAATTAGATATAGAATTTGTAACTTCTTCAGTGCCACTCTAAAAGTGATGGCTAAATAGAGAATCTCATTTCTGGGGTTGAAGTTCTTTAACATTGTTTATTGATATTAAGCCTATTTAATTCAGTAAGTAAGCTCTGGTGGCCTGATGGGTAAGGAATTGTGTTGCCAATCCTAGGGTAAGCAGTTCGAACTCACTGGCTGCTCTGCAGGAGAAAGATGGGCACTCTTCTGTGTGATTGAGAGCCTCTGAAAACTTACTGGAGTGTCAGCTATGCATATGTTTCAAATCAATGGCACAAAAATAGAAACAGCAAAAATTGGTAGTCACAAATGTCTAGCTGTAGAGTGTCCTCCAGCTTTGAACTGTATCTGTCACATGCAGGCATTATACATATATGCATTGTTATCTTCCTGTTGTTAACCCTACCTCTCACATACAGACATCATGTTAGCTATGCTGTAATTATTTTCTTGACTGTTTAACTAAGGTAAAGGTCTAAATATTCACAAGGTAAAAATGTGATTGGAAATTCACTTGTCTCAGCATATAAAGATTGCTTCATTTTAGGCCTTGATTCATGAACTTGGCTTTTTGAGTGACAAGGGAGTCCTGATGGTATGGTGGTAATGAGTTGTGCTGCTGTCCCTAAGGCAGGCAGTTTGAATCCTGCTGGCTGTATAGGAGAAGGATGTGCAGTCTTCTCCTGTGTGACTGACAGCTTCTGAGAACCTGGTGGAGGGTCAGCTATGACTCCGTTCCAAGTCAGTGGAATTCAGTGCAAGAACCTGCAGTCAACCCAGCCCCCTGTTACCATCTTGCATAGCTGTGGTTATATCACTACTTCTCACCTTTTCATCTTGCCATTATGGCCACCACCCAATGCAAATTATGTTGTGTATGTAACTTCAGTTCCACACCCAGTCCTCTACGGTACCTTGCATGGAAATATTTCAGCAGTTAGCTCCTTTCCTCCCTGTATTCCAGTTGATAATGACCAGTGAAAGTAACAGAATATGTATCTCCTTCTGTCTGTAACTTATTTCCTATTCCAGTATTCTAGCTATAAAAAGCTATACAGCACAATCATTCTGGAAAGCAGTTTGGCACTTCCTCAAAAAGCTGAACATAGAAATTCCATATGACCCAGCTATTCCACTACTTGGAATATACCCTAAGAATATGAGAACTGAGGCACAAACAGATTTGTACACCAGTGTTCATACAGCATTATTCACCATGGCAAGAACATGGAAATAGCCCAAATGTCCAACCACAAACAAATGGATTGAGAAATTATGGTACATTCACACAACGGAATACTATTCAGCTTGTAGGAGCAATAACTTAGTAAATTATTACCTAACTTGGGAGGGACTGGCGAGCAGTATGCTGAGTGAACTAACTCAGTCCCACAAGGATAAATATTATATAAAACTGTTATTGTAGAATGAGTATAAGGATCCAAGAGGAGTGAGAGAGGGTGGAAGCAGAGGGATGAGGATGTGCACAATTTGTTGAGGGCAGGGTGAAGGGAATTGAAAGAATTTGTTCTTTATTTTATTTTAATGAAAGTTTACAGGGACTTTGTATTTCCATTCATTCATTGTTGCATACTTTTCTCCCTTCCCACCCCCTCCCCTAGTTCTTTTTTCTCTTTGAAAAGTTAAAAAAATAAAATTCTTGTTATACAATCCCCCCAGCCCCCAGTCCACTCCACTATATAGCTTTTATTCTGGACTCTTGTCATGACAATAATACCTAATCATATATTCCTCTTAAACAATTCTCTCCCTCATCTATTTCAATGCAGTATACATAATTTATCCTTTCTTAGTTTTCCCCCAATCCCTATGTCAGTCCCCCTTTTTGTGACTGAGATACTTCACTTAGCATAATGTCCTCCAGGGTCACTCATTTTGTATAATATTTCATGAGTTCTTTGTTCTTCAATGCTGCATAGTATTCCATTGTGTGAATATACCAGAGCTTCTCTATTCATTCATTTGTTGATGGGCACGTGGGTTGTTTCCAACTCTTTGCTATTGTGATCAAAGCCACAATAAACATGGGTGTGCATATAACTACTTGGGTGGCAGTTCTAGTTTTTTTAGTGAATATTCCCAGATGTGGAGTTGCTGAGTCAAATGGTATTTCTATTTGCAACTTTTTGAGAAAGTGCCATACATCCTTCCATAGTGGTTGCAGCATTTTACACTCACACCAACAGAGAATAAGGGTTCCCGTTTCTCCACAACCTCGCCAGCATTTGTTGTTTGCTGTTCTATTAAATGTTGCTATTCTTACTGGAGTGAGATGATATCTCATAGTTGTTTTAAGAATTTGTTCTTAAAAACAATGTGTTCTAATTTTGTAAATAACTAGTAGAAATTTTTTTTAAAGAAAGAAACACAACACACACACACACACACACAAAGCTATACAGCAAGAGTCTCTGCTCCTTTTATTCATTTACAGTTGTTTTATATGGGCTGAGGGTGATGGGTTGTTGCTTTTATGTTCAATTGAGTTGGAACAGATTCATACACAGCTGACCCTCCGGCAGGTTTTCAGAAGCTGTAAATCACACAAGAGTGGATTATGCATCTTTCTAGCTGAGCTAACATGATGTCTTTATGAGAGAAGAGAGATTATCAACAGGAAGCTAACAAGATGACATACGTTTAGAGATTTGTGACCACCACTATAGGAACTAGGGAGCTCTGGTGGCCTACTGGCAAGAAGCTGTGCTGCAG